AATTCCACTGTAAATATGGTCATCTCTGTGTGGGTGGATGCTTTGATGTGTATATTTTCACAACAATCAAATGTTTGCTTAGCGTTTACGGGATAGTGCATTACCTTCCCTAGACCTGCCATAACAAACTACTACAAACTGGGTGGCTGAAAACCACCAGACGTTATTCTCTCACAGTTCTGAGGCTACAAGTTCGAATTCAGGGAATTGATGGCAAGGCCATACTCTTTCAAGGCTCTAGGACAGCGGTGCTCAACCTGTGGGTCACGACCCCTTTGGGGGTCGAATGACACTTTCAAAGGGGCACCCAATTCATAGCAGTAGCAAAATTACAGTTATGAAGGAGCAATGAACATAATTTTATAGTCAGGGGTCACCACAACATGAGGAACTGTACTAAAGGGTCGCTGCCTTAGGAAAGTTGAGAACCACTGCTCTAGGGGATGACCCTGTCTTGCCTCTTCCAGTTTTGTTAGCCTCAGGAGTTCTTTGGTTTGTGCTGACATACTGGTCTCTGCCTCTGTCTTCACATGCCTTCTGTGTCTGTCTCTGTGCCTCTTCTTCTAAGACACCAGTCATTTGCAGAAGGGTCTGCCTTACTCTATTATGACCTCATCTCATTTTATATCTATATCTCAATATGGTAGTTACATAATCTGCTGTCAAGTTGAGACTTCAGAGTGAAGGATGGAGTTTAGCCTGTCAATCAGGTCACAGCTTTATGACCTCATTTGAAGGCACTAAGGAGATAAATAGCTCTTTGGAGGCAGGATACATGCTCAGTCTCTGGGAGACATTACTGACAAAAGAGCCTGATAGAGCTACGCTGATGTAGCCAGAGCCTGGAGCTGGAGGAGCCACGTGGAAAAAACCCATGCCAACGCTTAGCGGGGAAGGCCGGGAAAAGGAAGTGGGTATTAACAAACCCAAGGACAAGGGAACAACAAGTGAGCCAAAATCAATGGCAAGGAGGGTGTAGCAGGAGGCCTGGTAGGGCCTGATCAAGGGCAATGTAAGTGAGAAGAACTACTGAAACCCAAATGAAGACTGAACATGATAGTGGGACAAGAGGAAAGTAAAAAGGCAAGGGGACAAAAGATGATTCAGCTGCTCAGTGTCTGTCTCTTATACAAAAATGCTTAGGACACCAATAAGGTGTCATCAGACTGAGACAATCACTAGTTTGGGCTCTGCCCTGACCCTTAGCTCCACGTTTCTAGCTGACATAGCCTCTAACCAGCACAGCCACTAAAGGACAATAGGATTGTTTCCAGTTTTTGCGTTTGCAAAGCAAGTTGCTATGCACATTCACATATGAATTTTTGTAGGGACATACCGTGTATGTTTTTGTTTCTCGGGGATAAGCACACAGAAGTTCAGTTGTTAGATTTTATAGCAAGTGCACGTTTAGTTCAGTTAAAATCTGCTGTACTCTTTCCCCCAATGGTGCTGTCATTCACATCCCCATCCGCAGTGTAAGAACATGTCAGCTGTTTCCCCAACTGTTGTTCTGAGTATGGAAATCTCTCTGGAGAAAACCTTCCTTTGCTTTCAGGTCAACAAATTCCACGGCTTACAAAGATTTCTAGGGGAAACTCTTGGCAAAAAAGTTAGATTTAAAAAGTCGGAGGGAAAGAAAGTGCTTTTAAACAAACTCCAATATTTATTTTACGTACACCTAACAGACTGGAGGAGTCTTTATTTATTTACTGTCTGTAGCTAGGAGGCATTTCCACTTCACCTATTTATTCCTCCCCGTGAGGCTATAAGAAGGGTGATTTTTCATGCGTATTTCAAATAAGTTTTCAAGAGTTACTGAGTGAAAAAGAGGAGCTGATACCAAGGGCTCAAGTAGAAAGAAAAGGTTTTGGAAATGATGATGACAACATATGTACAAATGTGCCCAATACAATTGATGTATGTATAGATTGTGATAAGAGCTGTATGAGCCTAAATAAAATGATTTATTAATATAAAAAAAGAAGAGTTACTAAGTGGCAGGGCTAGAGTGAGAAAAGGCACTTCAGGTCAGTGCAAGAGACATAGAAGACGGTCAACACCTTTGTTGGTGGTAGAGGGTGGGGCAGAGAATGGATAAAATCCAACTGTTGCTCTGAATGTGTCCCAGGAGCCATAGACGGCTGAGCATTGGGCTGCTAATCAGAAGGTTGTCGGTTCAAACCTATCAGCTACTCCTAGTTCCATGCTCCTCCTGGGTAAGACGAGGCTTTCAGTTCCTTAAATATTTATAGCCTTGGAAACCCAAGGGAGCAGTTCTACTCAATCCTATAGGGTGTCTATGATTTGAAATGGACTCATCGCCATTGGGAAGCAATACTAATGAGTCAAGACTCATAGGATGGTGGGTTAAGTGTTGTATTGCTAACTGTAAGGTCTTCAGTTCAAACCCACCAGCTCCTCTGAGGAAGAAAGATAAGACTGTCTGCTCCTGTAAAGATTTGCAGTCTTGGAAACCCTGTGGAGCACTTACTCTGCCCTACAGAGACACTATGAATTAGAATTCACTCCTCAACAGTGAAGGTGCCCTTGTGGCACAGTGGTTAAATGTTCCGCTGGGAACCCAAAATTTGGCCACTCGAACCCCCTAGCCCAGCGGTTCTCAACCTGTGGATCACGACCCCTTTGGGGGTTGAATGAACCTTTCACAGGGTTCGCCTACGACCTTCGGAAAATAAATATTTCCGATGGTCTTAGGTACCCAGATACTGCTCCTCTATCCGTCTCCAGGCCGGTCTGCCCACATGCAGATATACCCACATATGAGTACCCGTGTGTGAAGACTGTTACCCATGCTACGCCATGCTTCAAGGCAAAATTTCATTTATTTGTCATTAGAAATAAAGACTTCACAATATAGAATTACATATTGGTTTATGATTAATCATTATGTTTTAATTATATTCAATTTGTAACAATGAACATCCATCCATCAGACTTTGAAGTTTTAGAGAAATCTTTTAGTAAAAATACAGCATTCGCATAAAATTCCCACAGGTTTTATTTTAGCTTTTTAAAAAATTTTTTCAATTGGCCATCTGGGTATACAAATAAAAAATCGGATTATATGGTCTGCTTCTCACCAGAGGATTGGAGTTCATCCAGAACTGTGCTGGGGAAGAAGGGCCTGGAGATCTCCTTTTGGAAAATCAGCCGTTTAAAGTTCAGTGGAGTACAGTTCTACTCTGACACACGGGTTGCCTTTAAAAGAAAGGACTCAGGGAGCAAATGCTTGCTTTAAAAAAAATTCAACTGTTAATTTCAAACAAGAAAATGTGTTGTCATTTCATTTCCATTATGATTATATCCTTCTATCGAAGTTTGTGGTACCTGGACATGTCTAAATCTTCAGAATAAAAGAATCTTTCCCTTATTTTTTACCATTATTCTTTAGGATTTGTTAGGTGCCCCCCAAAACTCCCCGACAGGAAGATTAAATTGCGTCGGATGAGTCATGTCCTAAGAATAACACTAAATGCAAGCAGGAAAGTCATTTTAGGATAGAGGCCATAGAGAAAGGAGTACAAAAGTGAGTGGATGTAAGTGCAGAGAAGAAGCTGTGAAATTCAGCATTCCAAGGACCACCGTTAGATGCTGATGGGTGTCTGGGTGCCCACACTCAGGGCATTACTACTAGCATTTTGATGGCCATCGCAAGCACCCCCAGGCGGCAGAGTAATGGCCCTCCATCTTCATCTACTATCACCACCAGTCAAGGCAGGACCCTAAACCTTACAAAAATTCATTTAGGTCTCTAAGAACTCAAACTTATGGTGACTCTAATGACGTGAGACTTTCTGCAATAAAAATTCCGCGTCAGTTCATCAAAGTTGAACTTTTTTTTTTGAAACTTATTTATTTTTAAGCGTTTTATTAGGGGCTCATACAACTCATCACAATCCATACATTAATTGCGTAAAGCATATTTGTACATTCATTGCCCTCATCATTCTCAAAACATTTGCTGTCCACCTAAGCCCCTGGCATCAGCTCCTCATTTTTTCCCGACCCTCCCCGCTCCCCCCTCCCTCAAAGTTGAACTTCTCTCCGCCCTGCCTCCTCAGCCAACGCCTTACAGCGGGGTTAGCTCCACGAGTTCGCTTCCCCGGCATTTAAACGCCACCCACACGACCACCCGCCCCGCCAGGGTTCTCCGCCCTCGCCCCTCCCACCTGGCCCCT